TTATAATGGGAAAATTTTTAAATTAAGTATAATTAAAAATTTAATTATGTGATTAAGCGTTGTAAAAAAAATTAATAAGCAGGCGACTTACCTGCTGTCTTAACACATCATGCGTCAGCTCAGTCAATTGATATTCTAGCAAGTCCTCCGTTAGATGGGCGACTTGCTACAATAAGAATAAAATATATTTTTATTTTTTAAATTAAATTATTTCTGAAAATTTTTAATTAAATTATTTCAATAAATTAAGAAAATAATTTCACAACGATCATACTTCCTTTCTTTAAAGGAAATTAATCCAAATTGTTTCAGTAGGAAACCCACCTCAACACGCGAACATAGGGGTGTCAATTTTTGACCTGACACGAAACCCGACCTGGACCCACCCGGAAAAATCCATGTTCGGGTCAACCCTTTTGTGAAATGGGTTGGGTTCGTGTTCAATAAACTGACCCATTTCAAAAATTGGATCGGGTTCGGGTTGACCCAGGAACCCGAAAATGGTCCCTACCAGGCTGCCCGGGTTGCCTGACGTGTCAAGTCGTGTCGCTTCGACATTCGTGAATCGCGATGCTAGTCACGTCGCGACGCGTGCCAAGCTGCCAGCGGCCCACCGCCTTGTTGCCCGCTTTGCCGTTCGCATGCCAGCGCGGCAATGCCCGCTTCGGCTTCGCCACTCGCGTGTCAGCGGCAGCTTCGGGTTCAGTCGCAACGCCCGCTTTGGGTAGAGTCGCGACGCGTGTCGCCTGGTCCGCCAGCGCCCTACCACTGCGCGCCTACTGCCGCCGCGCCGCTGTTCCTACTGCTGTTGTCGCTTCGATTTTAAATAACCGGGTCGAGTCGTGTCAACCCGGCAACCCGTGCGGGTCGGGTCTGGGTTGAGATAACCGATCCGTTTACAAAAACGGGTCGGATTTGAGTTGACCCGTTTAGAACCGGGTCAACTCGAGTTCGACCCAAGGTCAACTCGAGTTCGACCCAAGGTCAACTCGAGTTCGACCCAAATCCGACCTGTCGATCCGAATTTACACCCCTACGCGAACACCTATCTCCAGACGAAAATGGCAGATCTAGTGCACCATATTCCTCTCTCCCTCCTCTTTCCCTTACTCCTTTCTATGTTGCACTTCCCCCGGACATAAATCCAAAAGAATGACAAATTGAACAAAATCAAGCAAAACATACAAACAAAGAAACAGAGACGAAAGCAGCAAACAAACATTTGGAAAAGAAATGAATGTTTGAAAATAAATCCCTTAAAGACTTGGGCAGATGGATAATTGATAAGATGTCTAAGTTTGAGATGGATTTTGATAAAATGTAAATGATGTGTATTCCGAGTATATATATTTTTAAATAATTTAATTAAAAACAAAAAAATACAATTTATTCTGTTACTGTAGCAAGCCGGCTGTTAAATGGACGACTTGTTACAGTATCAATTGATTGAGTCGGTAGTAAGTCATTTGTTAAACGGACGATTTTATCTAATTTTAAAATTTTATTTTATGATGCTTAATCATAAGATTAAATTTTTAATCATACTTATTTTAAAAATATACCACTTTATAATCACCTTTAAAAAAATTACAGCAACCCAAATCGATCCAAAATCTATTATATTTAATTATTTTTCTGAGTACAAGAATAAATTCACGAGTTTTAGTTTCTTTTTTTTAACGAGTTTTAATTTCTTAAATTTCTTCAAATATAAAATTTTCTTTCCTAAATATTAAATAACTTAAAATAAAATCATCATTAAGAAAAAATATTTTTTCTTTCTCCTACAATTTTTTAGATATGCGGAACAAGAAGCATCAAATTTGGGTTCAATGTAATAACTTAGACAACATGACTAATAGGGGTTTAAAAAAAAAAAAATGACTAATAGGGGATTAATTAGAAGACATAATGGCCACAGAAGACATCAATTAGTGTACGCAATGGGCTGCTTGTCACTTCTGTTGCAAGTCTTTATCACATTGCTAGTGGATGTGGAGTCGTGATCCATATTGATAGAGCAAGATAAAAGAATCTGATCAGTGATTATAAGTTTATTCAACTCAAAATATAATTTTTTTTTTGGGAACGGGGTATCCACCCGCTGCCACCTCAGCTTGTGAGGCGTTTGGCGGTGTGACTAATTCTCGACAGACCTAAAAGAGGCACCCACCACAGAAATCTCCGAACCCTCACTTAGTTGTGCCCCACTGAAGAGGCGATGTCGTTCGAGGGGAATCGAACACAGGTTCAGGGTACCTAACCGTACTCGCCCATCAACTAAGCTAAGCAACGGTGAGTATAAAATATTTTTGAACGGTGAGTTAATTTCAGTGAATAGAAATAGTACTTTTTTTTGAAAAATTATTCCTATAATTTAGAAAAACAGAGCATGTGATGGCAATGGCAGTTGTGGAAAAGCTTCAGTGGTTCTCGTAAGGTGTTATTTGCATTAATTTGCCGCCTACAATATTAAATTGTTCAGTGTTGCTTGGCTGGAGTGATTAGGATGCCTTGTGAGGACTGCTTTTGCTTTGCTAATTCTCCTGTCTTGGTTGTTAGGGTGACAATTCTAATAATAATGGTATTTTAGTTTGAAGAGCAATGAATGTTCGAATCGAATTTATTTTTTTTTTATTTGGATTAAGTTAAATGACTTAAGCTATAAACCAAATATTTAGCTCGGTTTGAAAGCGGAGTCAATTTTTGGCACGACGCAAAATCCGATCTGAACATGACCCAGAAAAATCCTGGTTCGGGTCGACCCTTTTGTGAAATGGGTCGGGTTAGGGTTCAATAAACCGACCCATTTCAAAAATCAGGTCAGGTTCGAGTTGACCTGGAAACCAAAAAATGACTCGGAAACGATCTGCACGCATCTGCTGCCCGCCCTGGTTGCATCGAGTGCCCGGTTGCCTACGTTGCCCGACTCGTCGATGATGTAGTTGGATCGTCGGAAGAATCGAATCTGCTTGAAGGATTTAAGGTAACACCAAGCTTAAAGCTTCAAAAACAAATAATATTCATCAATATATCTCACTCCCTTACATTAGCTAGCTATTTATAAAACAAAATAGGACTATCTAGAATATTAGAGGTATGATAGTCCTTGAGCAATTAATAGTTATGATGTTCCTACATCAGTCGAGTCGCATGATTCTCGTCTCTTCGGTTGCTTCGCATGTATTGCCCAACAGGTCACCATCACGTTGAGTTTTCTCGTGAGTCACACCACCACTTCTACCACTGCCGCTACTTTGCCGCCAGCTTTGAATCGGAACTGGAAGTAGCGACAATCCGCGCGGGTCGGTTCTGGGTTGAATTAGCCGACCGTTTGCAAAAATGGGTCGGGATCGAGTTACCCCGTTTAGAACTAGGTCAACTCGGTTCAACCCAAGCCCAACCCATCGACAAATTCATTAGATTTTGTGATCTATTTCATAACAATTCAAAAAGTTTATCGTCTTTTAACAAAAAAACTTATATAAAAAATTACTTTTCCTCGCTCAATTTTAAGGAGACATCCGTGCTCATAAATCTGAAATTTACTTGCAAAACAACATAAAGAAGAGATCCCCATAAATTTTTTCCATAAGAAATCCCCCCTATAATTTCTCTCAAAACCTCGACCCTACCATGAAGCAATAAACCATAAATCCGTGAAGCTGATCAATAATGCCGCACGCTTCGCCACAGTATTTTCAAAGCAAGTCCACCATGACAGGTGCTTTCTACCTGCATCGGCTGCTCAAGCTACAACGTGTCGGTTGAAACCCACGGCTTGAAAGGGTCAAAATGCAGGCCAACGACCGCGAGCAACGGCGGCCCGCGCGACTCCGTTATGCGAATTCTCACGCTCTCTGCTGTCATCGGCCGCTCAAGCCGGTGTAGCCGCTTGTGCCCCACCGTCGTTCCATTCCTCACGATTGCCTTCCCATCAACATAAACCTCATACCTTCCGATCCTCTGCCCCATTCTTATCATTTCTTGTATTCTCACCACATTGAACTTAGCCGTCTGGTTCAAGCCGCGTAGCTCGATCCAATAGCTTCCCTTTTTATTCTCTTCCGGTGTCCAATACGTCTCCTCATCCCCATCCACCACATTACTAGCCGCAAAGCCGCCGTGTTCGCCTCCCCTTTCGCTGCTGGCCTTCACGACGCTGCCTCGGGCTATGTCTTCCTTGAAGATTTTGTCGATGGCTGATCGAAATTGACGAAGCCTCTTTACGTCGATTTCGGATACAAGGCCGGTGGTGTTGGGCGGCACGTTGAGCAAAAGCACGCAGTTACGGCCGACGGACTTGTAGTATATGTCGATGAGTTGGTTTAGCGGCTTTGGCTTCTCGGATTCGTGCCAGAACCAGCCAGGCCTTATTGAAACGTCGCACTCCGGTGGAACCCAGTCGGTTCCTCTTGGATCGCCAGTGTTTAAGTATCTGAACTCAAGATCGATCACGTGAGCTCATTAGTAAAGCCAATCATAATCAAATTAGGTATCAACTTTAATCGTTGCTTTTTAAAAAGCAACTTTTTAGTATAAAATTTTAATTTTTTAACTAAAAAATTGATTTAAGAATCAACAAAAAAACCGTTCTAAATGAAATCTTAATTTGATATAGCTAGCTCAGATGTTTTTTTTTTCTTTATTCAAAAATTATATGACGGGATTAATTTTTATTCTATTTTTAAAAAATTAAAAGCAAATTAGTATTAAAATTAGAAAAAAAAATTATTGTTTTTCTCATTCTGAGAATACATAGGAACAAGAACTTTATAAACAATTGCTTATTTTTTTGGGAGTGGTAGCTAAATTTCATTGAATATCAATGAGAAATTGCTACAAATTTTTATGAGGATAGCATTTTCTTCATTGGATTGTCATTAGAATGAATAGAATCAATACAGATTAGTGATGATTTTATGCGTTTCATCAATAAAATATAAATCTTTAGGCATACTCAATAAAGGAATTCTTCTGACGATTTCGCCTGCAATTTCTTTTCACTTAGCGCTTAAAAACAGAGGAAGAAAAATCATAATCAGGGTTTGCTTATTACCTCTCAAGGCTCGCGTCGCCGATTCGAAGGCTTGTGCGGTTAATCTGCGACCAGCAAGTCTCTCCTGCAGAGCCCTTTTCATCCCCAACCCATCTCAAATCCGGCCCTGCGTCGGAGAAGATATTAATTGATCCTTGCAGCTGCTTCGTCATCCCGAACCAATCCTTGAAGTAGTAAGTCATATTGGTGGCGTTCGCCCCCTTTGCCCCATCAAACCAAATCTCCGAGATGCTCCCGTAATTGGTAAGCAACTCATAGAGCTGACCCAAGTAGTACTCATTATAAGGGACCTCGAGGCCGTAGCTCTTCTCATGGCGATCCCACGGCGAGAGGTAGAGCCCAACGTCGATGCCTCCGGCATGAGCTGCCGTGACGAAGTTTCTGATGACGTCGCCCTTGCCGCCATGCCAGGGGCTGAGGGCGACTGAGTGGTGGGTGTAGCGGGAGGGCCAAAGGCAGAATCCATCGTGGTGTTTGGCGGTGAGGATGACAAGGGAAACACCAAGGGCGGAGGCTGCCGATATCCATTGGGTGGTGTTGAGGGCAGTGGGGTTGAATATGGTGGGGCTTTCGTGGCCGGTGCCCCATTCGGAATTGGTGAAGGTGTTGACGCCGAAGTGGAAGAACATTATGATCTCACGCCGCTGCCATTTGAGCTGTGATGAAGAGGGGACGGGGAGGACGGGGAGAGGTGGCGATGGAGGTTTTGCTAGAGAGAATTTAGATTGGTAGAATAGGATTGCGAGGAAGAGTGGTACGGCTTTTCTCATGCTTGCTCTGCTCTGCTTTTTTTTTGTTTTTTTTTTCCTCTCTGCTTTAGAGTTTCAGGATATATGCTAGTTTGCTTTGTGGTGATGAAGGGGATCGAGGGTAAATGAAATGGATTTCTGGCATTAATGGTGCTTTATAAAGGCACAATTTCTTTTAGAGCTCCTAAAGAAGGAGAAATTATTAGGAGCGGGCACTGGACAGAGATAATCATCTGATTTTCTCACTGTCTATAATAAAAGCATAGTTATCGTAGCAATTGAGTTTTGATTGCACTTTCACCGTGTAAATCTTGTATACATGTCAGAAATCGATTCATGAGGTTTCATACTAAAAAGTTCGTAGTCATGTAAGAGAATGTTTAAACGGGATTGTTTAACCTCATTAGTACCTTCATAGGTGATGCACAATTTATCCCAAATCTCTTTACCAGTTTTGCAAGTTGAGACACACATGTAATCCTCAGATTTTAAAGCACAGAAAAAGCAATTCATAGACAGAGAAAAAATTGGTTAGTTCTCTACATACGGTGTTCGCACATAATAATTTGCACCTAAAGAGGTGAAATGTGAAAGGCTCATTTGATGCCTTAGGGATTTTTTTTTTGGTTTTACTCTTGTGCGTCATGTGAGGAGATAGAAAGAGAAAGAAAATGATCAGGATAATGATTTGAGTACTTCTCGGACTCTCGATGGTTCTTATTTGATGGATTCTGATTCAACTTTAGGTGAAACTTTTAGAAAAAATTATTAATTTTATAATTTTGACTAATTTTTGAGGTTTTGATCAAACGAAATTAAAATATCTCATAAAAAAATTAAAATTTTTAAATAAAGATTCAGTAGACTTTATTTAGTATATATTAAAATTTTGAAATTACAGAGTCCTTATGTATCGAATTTAAAAGCTCATCTTATAAAAAAAAAATTAATCTGAACTTAAGACAAATGGCATGAAATTAAGAGAGAAAATAGCCCAGGATCATGAGCAATAACTTTTTAGAAATTTTATTGCTTAACCATTCCTCCTATTACAACCAAATTGGCTTCAAAGGAATTATTTTCTCAATTCTTTAAATGTCCCGTACTCCTCACCCAACATGGAATTTCTTTCCATATAAATTTTTCTTCAAAGTAATTGTTTTTCTCTTCGAAAAAAAGTATAGAAAGGGAAATTTGTTTTTATATAATTCTTTATAAGAATATCAAATAAGCATTGAATATAGTAATTTACATTAAAATTTATGCTCTATTGATAAGCACAAATAAATCATCATATATGATATCCACATAGAGGCAAATCAATTTGTTACTTAAAATTTTTTACAAGGAACAAAATATTTCTTAATGAATTTAGATAGGCTGCAAATGATATGGTGAGAGCATTTATGAACATAAGTATTAAACTTTATCTTTTATAAAATTTTAATAATAAATAAATATCATGAGATTTGTAATAATATTTTTCATCATTAATAGACATATTTTCAAATTAGAATAATTATTAATACAATTAAATTAAATTATTTATTTATTTTATTTTTTTGCTAAAAATTCAACAAGGTATTTCTTGTACTCTTGTAAGTGGTGGAATGGGAAAGCGAAGGGAAGATGGTAATGGAGTTCACGGGTTAGTTTGTTGGCAGCATCGGTGAGCAGGTGGAAGAACCAAACAACGAGGAGAATTTTGTGTACCCTCACATGAAAAGTAGGGCAACAGCCCGTGGAATAAAGTTTCTGTTAGGTTATTTTAATATAAATTATATTAAAATAAATTTTAAATTATTAAATTTATTTTGAATTTTATGATATATATATAGTTTTGTATTGCTTTTCTGGTAAAAAAGGTAGGTAGTAAAAATAATATTATTTGAAAGAAAGTGTTTTACTGTTTTTTATTTTTTATTTATCTTTAAAAAACTATTTTTGAAAATTTTGTTTTTTAAATTATGGCTAAAAAAAGATATTTTGAATATAAAAAATAGAAAAACTTAAGAGTCTCTTTTGGAACGGCAATAGCATTTTATAAAATTAGTTATGGAGTTGTTGTACAAAAACCAACTTTGTTTTCATGGTTGCAAAAAATAGTTTTTTATCACACAATTTTTTCTAAAAAAATGAAAAAAATAGCAATAAATAATACCTAAATAAAATTATGAATGTTTATCCAAGACAAACCTCAAATTGCCCTAAATAAAACTACACTATTTACTTTAAAACTAAATTACAATCAAATATTTTAAATTTAGATAGGAATAATAAGTAAAATATTACATTTATAAGCACCATGAAAATTTTTTCTAGTAAGAGTTCCACATTGTAAGTTAGAAACTGGTGATAAAATTAGGTATTTAAATTTATAATGATGTTTAAGCATGTCGGTGTTAGGTTAATGCTGGTGGGTTAATGTGCGGTCCGAATGATATTAGATGACAAAGATCATAGCTTTCAAGAGCTTTTTGACATTTATAGCTTATTTTAATTTTTTTTTAATTAAAGGATTGATATATTATCAAAAAATTATCTTGATCATGCACGAATCTTAAGGAAAAATTAAGTTGGATACTTAAAAATTAAATATGAGATATATGAACTCCAATTTCAGCAAACTTATAGTCGAAATAAACGTCTTAGAAATATGAACCCAACGACACCAAATTCAATTCATTCTGAGCCCAAATGAGTCTGAATCAAAGAACGAAGCACATTTGAGAGGTTCAAACTATAATTTGGCTTACCAAACATGTTTTAAACATGATACGCTTATAATCGAATAGAGCGGCTAGACGAGAAGAATCTAATGAGCACAATATCTCCATATTCTGATATCATTAAGACATTCAAATTCCCAATAAACTGTCCACGATCAAGGGATTCAACATCAGCTGTCAATTCAAACCACTCACAATTTACCCTTGATCTTCCTCTTATATATTTACATGCTATATCACTCTCATAAATCTATTAGTAAACCCTTCCCTTCTCATGGAAAGGGGAGCCCAAGCAAGAAAGCTAGAAGAGAGATCGGATATCGCTCTTGACAATTAGCTCCTCCTCGACCACCGCCCGGATTTTCGTTAGACCACTGCCTTACTATAAACTTTTGCCGGACCACTAATTGACACCCGAACTTTTGACAGACCGCCATCTGACGTCTGGACTTCTGCTGGACCACCGACTGAAAGTTAGATTTTTTCGAGACCGCCAATTGAAGCCCAAACTTCTGCCAGACCACCAATTGACGCCGGAGTTCTAGCGGACCACCAATTGGCTCGCAGACTTCTACCTGACTACCAACTAATGTCCAGACTTCTACCGGACCACCAACTAACGCACAGACTTCTGCCGGACCACCAAATGATGCAAGATTTTTTCCAGACCGCTGACTATGGTCCTTCCGACCACCCTTACCATACTACGGTATTTCTAACATTCGTTAATCGCTGACTACAGTCTTTCTGACCTTTGTCGCCCACCAACTATAGTCCTTCCAGCCACCCTCATCTGACTACGGTCATTCTGACCTTCCTCGCCCTACGAATACCGACCTTCAGACCTCTATCGCAATACAACAATTTTTATGACCTCTGTCTCCCGCCAACCAAGGTCCTTCCGACCTCTGTCACTTGACAACGTCTTTTCGACCTCTATTGTCAGCAAACTATGGTTCTACCGACCAAACGAACATATCAATTCTGAATCTTCCAATTTTCACCATGTAATGCACTCTATATGATGTATGTTTCTTACATCAAGCAAAGGCTTTACCCCAAGGAAGGGCCTTATTTGTAAACAATTGCAAATACTAATGGATTCATTCAAACTGGGTTAGAACCTATAATTTTTCCCCCTTTTTAGGGGTTTCCATGTAAAAACTCTGGTGTCTCTTATGAATGTTGCACTCTCTCCTTGTCTATTTGTGTGTTGGATCTTCGTACAATGCAAATGCATTAAACTTTATATTTCTCTACCTCTTTGAATATTCTAGACCCAGTAGTTTGAATTCGTCTGTAGGAACCTGATTCCTAACTAGGGGAAAATTTTTGCTCAAACCTCAAAAGGTCATTCATGTCAACGTTCTGACATTAACTTTTGCTGCATTAATTTTATGGGAATTAAATGTGGACTGGGGGGCAACATTGACTATAGCCGTGGTCAAGAAGATTCCTCCAACTCTTTCAATATCCAAGATTATATCTTGAGATCATAAAGCTTCTAGCAAATGCAATGATGCTTCCAATAAATTTCAAGCTTTATACAATCCCTAGTTAGACTTCTACACCTTAGACAAGGTCTTAATGTCAACCACAAAAGGCAATAACGATCTAGAGATAAACCATTCTTCAACTTTGATTCGTGATACATGTGGTATTCGCCAAGACAAAATCAATCCTAGGAGGATTCAACTCGACTTCTTCATGTAAGTCACCTGTTGAACGAGTGACTTGCTAAGATATACTATAAATTTTTTATTTTTAAATCAAATTTCTATTTTTCAATAGAAAAAATAAATAATTAAATTTAAGAAATGAAAATTTAATTTTAAAATATAAATTAATTTGAGAGTCATTTTTTTTAATAGAAATCATTGCTCAAGTTTACATCAATAATTCAAGAATTTTATTTTAATAAATTATCAATATCTTTTAAAAAATGAAATGTCATTTTCTTTGTTGAAATTTTTTAAAAAAATATTCAATGTTAGTTTATCTATAAATATTTTGAATTTAAATATATAATCAAGTTTTTAAAATATATAGTCTAAGTTTCTAACTGCAATCACAAACAAGCCTTACGATGTTAAATTTTAATAAATTATCTTTAAGATTAATAAAATTAATATAAGATAGATATCCATTTGTCAATATTAAATTATAAAATTAAAAAATATATAAAAATTAACAATGATATTATTGTTAATGTAATTTAATTATTTTTTTCCTTTGAAAAATATAAATTTGATTTAAAAAATAATAGTATATTGTAGCAAGTCAACAGGTCAACGAGCAACTTACTACATACTTTTATTTATTTTTTTCGGTGCTGATTGAGCATGTAAGTGGCCAGTTGAACGAGCGACTTGTATAATATACTATTATTTTTTTAATTTTTAAATCAAATTTATATTTCTCAATTGAAAAAAAA